TATTAAATTTTTAAGAATTAAAAAATCCTAATTGATGACTTGAAAGTTTTGAAATAAATTTAGCGTTGATATAATCTCACCTATTTTGTTATATTCTTTATATTCATGACTATGAATTTCATTGCCTTACTTTATAAGTTAGTACTAGTGATTCTAGACTAAATTAATATTAAATCATAAATTACAGTATAATATATTTGGTAAGTCTTTTATAAAATTTTTATTGTTACAACTACTACTAAATTAAAAAGATCTGCACGCATATGATATAATATTTGATTGTGTTTTAGCGCAAATAGTACTGAATATTAAACAAAATTAGCATATATTTGAAAGAGATACATTAGTGCAATTGATATATTATTGGCATTAGCCAGTAATTTTCTACTCTCATAAAGTGAGCTAGCTATTAGCCGGAAGCTTTGTAGTCAAATTGTAATGCATAATCTTAGCAGTAGCTTCCTACCTGCTGAGGAAGGTAAAGGAGAGCACAAATTTGCTTCACCCTTGGGAGCTGCTATTAGACTACTCTGCTAATTTTTTGTTTATATATGTCTCATTATTGTCATACGTACCTGCCTGCCTGACAAATTTGGTTATATTAGCAATTGCTTCATAAATCTTGAATAGGTAACTCATTAAACTTTTACTTATATTTTTCCTGCATATACCGATTTTCTTGTTTGAATCAAGATTATCCATGTGAATTTTGACTTACTGTCAACTCGAATCATAAATATATGTATTTCTGAAATTTTATATGCTATTATACTAATTTCTAACAAGAACTTGCTTTTAACAAGATATGTGATATATTTATATATATGATTAAAAATAAATATTATACTATGTATGATATATGGTAAGCTAATTATACTTTGATCTTCTTACGATCATTAATATGGTCCTTATGTAACTCAAAACTTTAATGCGGAAGACTGTATTTTTTTAAACAGTAAATAATCTTTCTTTGTTGACATGCAGCAAATTATTTCTAATAAAGTTTATGAGCACCTTATTTATTGATTGCAATCTTACTCGTGATCTGCCACATTTCTAGGATTTTGATATAAAAATTTTGTCATTCTAATCGTTCAGATCATTCAGATCATTTAGATCGTTCTAAGCATGCCAAAACTTTTTTAGTTAAATTGATTTTTGATTCCATAATTCGATGTATGCATTGTTATGAAACTGTAAATTGAATTTACATGCTAAAAATATAGTAAATTTTATGTTTATCGCTTATGTGTCTTATTAGTTAAACCTTATAATATTTACATAATATTTTTATTTTATAGCACATCTTGAATGTTATCTACAGTGATCAGCACTATCAGAAACCTCCATTTGCTTATTGTACATACGCACATTCGTAGAATCTTTTTTAATAAACTTTTATTAGTATTCTCTAAGTATTATATTATTCATCTATCTACCACTTATGAGAACAGTATTTTTATTTTACTGTTCTCAAAAACTTTTTAATAGTGAACAGTAAAAAATTTTTACTGTTCACAAACTTATAATTGTGTTCTCATGAGAACTCGGAGAACACTAATTTCGAACACTGGTCAGAACGCATAACAGGTTAGATTTGCCGCATAAAATATGGTACTATGTTAAGTAATTATCGCATAACTGGCTCTAAGTACTGTTCTGAAAAGCTCATATTACGAGCAAGGTCAAGAAAAAAATTGGAGGTATGTTTTGAACTATTCGAAAGACAGCTTTCATACTAAGTTTTAAAACTGCGCATTTGTGTGCAAGACGTACATAATTATAAATTTGGGTGCAAAATACTCACAAAATTTATGCACGTAAAAATGCTTATTATATAACACAGGTTGAATAAATGAATATAGGGTGTATACCGGGAGACAAGTTTCCTGTTATGTACCCGACATAGATCCGCCAAATACCTGCTGAATATCGGCAGCATATTGAAATATCCCGATATCTTACTTTTAGGCCCAGAGTAAGATATCAGGGTATCCTAATATTGAGCTGTTATGTTACCAATATCGAACTACTTCGCGATATCTTACCAATATGCTGCCAATAAGCAGGTATTTGGCGGATCTATGGCGGACTATCGGGTATAGTACATAGCAGGAAACTTGCCTCCCTGTATGCACCCGATATTCATTAATTCAACCTGTGTAATATAGTACGGCAGTCATTGATCATAAATTATGCTATTTTTTTTTTTTTAAATCCTTTGATTCGTATAATATAAGTATGGGTGACGTACTCATCGTGCAAAATAATAAGTATATGACAAAATAAAAAGAGATTTATAACATAAATAATGTAAAACTAAAATCCAGAAGAATTTTTTGCCGATCATCATCCCACGTAATACTATTTCCGAATTAGTGTGTCTACGCAGGTGAAGCTATGATTTTTGGGCATCTCCTGGCTGCTATATAACGTTACAGAGCCATTTCCCCATTTATTATTAATATTAACTGTGTTTTTTGTAACTAATTTCGCCTTAAATATGTAAAATTAAAAAAATTGTTCTGTAATGTTATAGAGCATTCAAAAATTATATTTTATCTGCGTGAACGTACTGTTCAAAAGTAGTAGGAATTCGAAGTTCACATATTTTTATATTTAATTTCGGAAATTTTAAAAATTGATTTATACTATGTTGATCATAGTATATCGCACACCCCAATAATTTATGGTTTATTGCAGAACGCCTGTAGATCTCGCGCTTTTATGTCATTTTAAGATTAGGCAACATTCCCATTAATCAATGGATCTACCTCCTAACGTGACTTAACCCTAATCTAACATAACCCTAACCCTAACCTTAACATCCCAATTGGATAAAAATCACGAGGGGGTAAACTTTTTTGTGGGTGAGCTACGATACATTTATTTGCAACATCATCATATAATCATCATATAATCACATTTGGTTTATGTTCAACTACGTACTGTCATCAGGATATCAGGATCATCACATTATCATCCGGAGCACAACCTCTATATCAATTCATAATGTATTTATTTAATATTAAATGTAAAATGATAGGTTATGTAATCATTATCTTAGAAAGCATAATTTCTTGATAAACTATAATAGGAAATGTTATAATATTTGGTAATAATAGCTTTTTCTGTGAAAATTTTATATGCACTTGTTTTCTTTCGTGCTCGCTGTATCAATTACCAAATTTATCTCGTCTTTAAAAAATTTGTAAATATATATATTCTCAATTTCCTACACGGCCAACGGTAGCCAACTTAATCTTTCATTTATACACTTTTTTAAAAATAATTATATCCATCGTTTATTATTCGAAATGGTGGAAACCAAGGCAGACGACAACGCTAAAGATTCAGATAATACCGATTATAATGAGAAAACTCTTGATGAAAAAAAAATTGAAAAATATTTTACTAATAATGAGAAAATTCACGATGAAGAAAAAACCGAAATAGAATCGGATGAAGATTCAGAAGATTCAGTGGTTAAAATGATTTCAGCGGTAAGTAAGTTATTGAAACTATTCGTTACTTCAATATCTTCTTTTGTTATCTTGAAATAAGTTTAAAAATTTTAGGCCGCTAATACAAACGATGATCCAAGTTTACCATGTTTGACTTTTCGATTTTGGGTACTAAGTACCGTAAGTCTTAATTATTTTTTAGTATTAAGTTATTGTATTACTATTGTATGGATAGTATATAAATATTGTGGCATTTACCCGCGTGATTTATGGTTTAATTTATGTGTAACTTACAACTATATTATATTTATATACAATATCCATACAATTATTTGATGCTGGTTTGCATGTTTTGACCTTTTTATCTTATAATTTACATAACATAGCTCTTTACCGCACTGGGTGCCGCAGTATCAGTATTCTATTATTTTCGTTCAAACTACGTGAATTATTCCATATTCTTTGTGATACTCGCATCCTATATTTTGGGTAAATTTATGGAAAAAACCCTGCCAACTAAGAAATTTTATATCAAAAATTGGGAATTTAGTCTAAATCCAGGTTTGTTGTTTTACAAACGGTTGAATGTTCACATAATAAATATTGTGTGTAATTAACTAATGTATTTTCTATTGTGCAGGTCCTTTTAACTATAAGGAACACGTGTGCGTAGCCGCTTCCGCTGTGGCGGGCGGTGTTTCTGCGTACGCTGTGGTATTGTTCAAATCTCTTACTTTTTCTATTTTTTTTATTATTGCTACAATATATTTTGATGTTTATCTTTACGTATTTCGCTTATAGGATATCATCTCAATCCAAGAATTATACTATAATACTCATGTTAATTTCTTTATTGGTTTTCTGCTACTTATTAGTACGCAGATGATTGGATATGGACTCGCCGGATTTGCTCGAAAATGTGTGTATTATATTAAGCAATCAATTATCAAGAATAATATATAAGAATAATTGTTTGAAAATAATTATTAGAAACCAATATAATATCTACTAGAAAAATTAATTATTTACTCTTAAAATTTTTAATTAAATTTTTAATTAATGCTAGATTTGGTTTATCCAACTAACATGATATGGCCTCAATCTCTTGTCTTTGCTACCATGTACAATACATTACACGGCAATACTTCTGAAACAAATGATAAAATTCGGTTTTTTTATATCGCTTTTATTTCAATGTTCATTTGGCAGTTTGTACCAGAATACATGTTTACTTGGTTATCCAGTGCCGCTATATTGTGCCTTATAGCTCCAAATAATAATGTGATTGCGACATTGGGAAGTGTTTATAAAGGTGCTGGGATTCTTAATTTTTCTTTTGATTGGAACGCTATTAGTTATATTGCTCCCCTGTACACTCCATGGTAACTTTTGTCTATAATTCTCAGTGCCTATCATTTAAAGCTTGATATATATTTTATATTTACCTTATTTCCTTACAACTTACGTAGGTGGTCTCAGGTAAATAACTTGGCTGGTGTCGTATTAGCAACGTGGATTATTGCTCCGTTGCTTTACTTTAATAATGTCCTGTAAGAAATTTTTTATTTATTTGTTTTGTTGAATTGCTGCATAATTTGTAAATGTTTCATAATTGTAAATTAATTAATTTTATAGTGATGCCCAAAATTTTCCTTTCTTATCAACTCATACATTCGATAAAAATGGAGAAAGGTAGGTGTCATTTTTTTATTAGATGCATTATTAAACATATTAAACTACTTTAATACTTTTTGTTTTTTTGCAGATATAACCAGACAAGAATTATTGATCCGACAACTAATACTCTCGATTTTACTGCATATGAGAATTATAGTCCTATGTTTATGTCTATTATACTTGTTGCTTGTTATGGCTATTCTTTCATGCAAATTCCTGCAACTATTGTTCATGTGATACTATTTCATGGGAAGGATATTTGGAATCGATTCAAAAAAACTCGTGAAGAAGAGAATGAATCTGACATCCACTGTAAGATGATGAGTATTTATCCAGGTTTGAATAATATTCATTTATTTCATTTCTAATAATTATTTCGGAAAAGAACTCGATTTGATTTAATTTTTGTATTGACAACAGAGGTACCGAATTATTGGTATGGTGGTACCTTCTTGGTCATGCTAATAATTGCAATTATCCTTGGCCAAACAACCGGTGCGAATTTACCTTGGTGGGGTCTATTGTTGGCCGTTGCTCTTGCTGTAATCACATTGCTTCCGATAGGTATAATATTTATGATCACTTGTCCAATCTATTATTTAAAATATAAAATATAAAATATCAACACTGTTGTTCGTCGATAGGAATTATTCAGGCTATCTCAAATTGGCAAATTGGATTAAATGTTATAGTTGAAATGGTGTGCGGTTATATTTTACCTGGTCGACCAATAGCAAATGTATATTTTAAAACCTATGGATATATGTGTTTGTCGCAATGTTTATATTTTGTTCAAGATCTAAAATTGGGTATGTACTTTCTTTAAATATAAATTTATTGGCGTCTAAGGTTGTCTAAATATTGTTATTAAAATTTATTTTCACTGTTAAAGGTCATTATATGAAAATTCCCCCAAGGAGCATGTTTACATCACAAATATGGGGCACATTTGTTGGTGTAATTATAAATTATTGGACAATGGCCCTTATTATCGATAAAAAAAGACCATACCTTGATGGTACAATAGAAGATCCAAGCGGCCAAGTAAGTAGTATTTGTTTTCATCATTTTATCTGACTTTTGAACTTTTTTAAGTGAATATTTTTTGATTATGTATGTAGTGGACTGGCATTAAGTCTGGGTTATTCAACTCTGCATCTATAATATGGGGATTAATTGGACCCGGGATAACTTTTGGGGTATGTTAATTCGAATATAATGTATCACAATTATTGAAATAATTAATTATATATGAATCTAATAATCTTATTTCTTACAGCCTAGCTCACCTTATAATATACTCCTCTGGGGATTCTTAATTGGTGTCTTTTTACCGATACCATTTTACTTACTTCATCGAAAGTTTCCAAGGGCAAAATTTAATTTCGTGAATACTCCTGTGATCTTAAATGGTCTAGCTACTATCCCCGAGAGTATACCAAATTTCATAATTACTGGATTCATTGTCAGCTTTTTGAGTCAATTTTATGCATTTCGTTATAAGAATAAGTAAATATATGCCTATTTATTGTTATGAATATATATACAGTATAAATTAAAAAATTAAAATTTTTTATATGTTTATTTATAGGTGGTGGAAAAAGTAAGTTTCTGTTTTTTTGTTTACAATAAATCATGTGAAATGAGCACATTCACTTATTTTTATTTTATAATAGAAATAATTATGTACTGTCTGCAGCATTTGATTCTGGTGCACAAATCATGACAATGGTATTATTCATTTGTTTTACTGGAATTGCACAGGTAGGTTATCATTTAATATTTTTAGTTAGAATCATATACAATACTCCAATTTTTTTTATGCATATGACCCAACACATTTTATTCCTCAGGTACAATTTCCAGCTTGGTGGGGTAACGATCCATCATCTCAAGGTGAACACTGCTTTTACGAATAAAATTAATGTAGTATTAATCTCTACCCTAAGTACAAAGCTAATTACAGTCAGACCTCTCTAAATGCATAGCCGTGGGGCGGCCAAAAATCTTGCAGTTACTGTAGAAAGGTATTAAGGAGGTAAAAATATATAAGTGTCATATGAGTTGGGGCCAAACAAGGCCATGCATTTAGGGAGGTTTGACTGTAATTATTAATTACTTTTATTACTTTTATTTTTTCTTTTTAATTATTGACTTTAATCTTTAATGTACAAATAGTAACGAATAATAAAATAAATAATACTTTAATTACTGTTTCAATCCTATCACGGGAATATTTTTTTGGATTCAGATCTGAGATAATTTTAAATATGCAAAAATATTAAAATACAGAATATTTGTAAAAGTCTGCGTAAATCTTAAAATTTTTCTTCGATGATCGCGCAGATCTGAATATATATATAACTCATTAAAGATCTGCGCTGTTATGTAACGAAAAAATAATAAGTCAATTTCCTTAGCATTTTAAAAGTTTATACATATATGATTCTTTTATCATTGTTAATAAACAAGCTTTTAATTTTTCTATTTGTCAAAATTCTTCTCAACAAAAAATAGGTTGAGTGAAGCAAGTAAAAGACCAATTTCTTTGTGCTACAAAGGAAAAATTAATAAAAGAACGAAAGAAAAAAAGCAAATTGAAAATATAATTATAAAACTCAATTCATTGATAGATTTAATATTCATGTAATATATTTGAATATAATTATTATTTTTACTTTAATGATTGCAGTATAAAAAGATGGAAAAAAATTGCAATCAGGTGTTGTGACCCAATCAACGTTCAATAAACTTATCTTATCGATAGTGATACGGGCCGATGGTAAAACCTTGGGCCGGCCGACCTTGACTAAAGTTATTTAATTCTGTTTCAGTTTATATTTTGACTTTTTTTTCGAATATATTAAGTGAAAAAAATTGCATTGAATAAAAACCCTGTATTGAATAATTTATTAAATAAAATAATTGTTAATATTAGATATCAATAAGTTAATTATAAAAAAAATCATCGCACAATAACAAACCGATGACGAGAAAGAAAATATTATTTGGGTCTTTGCCATGAAAATCGCGATATGGGACATATGATTTTATGTCCTATAACGTGGTTTTCAAATTTTGTTTATATTATAGCCGTTTTTCATTTTTATCTCCGTGGGAAATCAGGAATTCAAAATATAGGAAACGGATTTCTAATGTTTACTATTCAATCTCCCGAATTCCACAGGTGTATGGACGCTTGAAAAGATATAAAATAAACTGATCCCCGCACCGAATATAAAGCTTATCGAAAAAAAAAGAGTATATCCTTTCTGGTACGGTACAGAAAAAAATATCTGGTAGATACGGTACAGAAAAGTGGCCATACCCAGTTAAATCTTTTCTATCAAGGTATACAAAAAAATATTATTCCACGTTTCTATATGATTGCATGACGGGGTTTACAACTTATAATCATCAGTAAAAAAATCGAGTTTCTAGAAATGTTTGTTATTTCCCCGGCAACGCTTGATATTTCCCCGGACTTCCGGGAAATAACAAGCGTTACCGAGGAAATAACAAACATTGCTAGAAACTCGATTTTTTTTATTGATCAAACTAGTGATTACGAGTCGTAAAAGCCCGTCATGACATCATATAAAAACGAAGAATAATACCCTTATTTCGCCGCTACGAGGAAATAACCCGGTAGATCTTCACCCTATTGTGGGCCCTTCAGGCCCCCAGATGACCAGTGATGTACCTCTTGTTCCCTCCGTTTCGGGAAATAAATATTACATAATTGCCGTACCTAAGCTTCTTTTGGTGTTAGGTATGCAAAAAATATATATACTTAATAAAAAAATTTACTGTACCCGAATTTGATATTAATAAGCCAGGTACAGTAAGAAAGAAAGATAGGATAACATAAAAAAAAATGTACCGTACCCAAAGGTTATATATGGGCGCTTTTCAATAGAAAGGGAGGAGATCTACTTTTTGGCTTATTAAATAAAGTATATGATACTAATTAAAAGTTGAATTATGCTAGCTTAATAATTTTTAGGTTTGACATACAAACTTTATCATATAGTACTGTATACGGTTTACGTATAAAAATTAAAGGTCACGTGCATTACACAATTGTTTACATCACATGGTATATATTGTGAGCCCCAGAATCCGACAGCAGATCCTCGATTTTGATTGGCTAACGGCCGGGGATCTTCAAAATTTTGGCCCGCATTACATAATTGTTTACTAATTTCCGGTCGAAATTAACTTTTAAATTTTTCATTACAAAAATAGAAATTTTTAAGAAATAAGCCCACGTTATGGTAAAATTGACCCGGAACAATTTTCACTTAATGGGCGGTTGCGATTTCATTAGTAAAATTATGAGTAATTCCGGCCTAATTATTTTTATCGTCGCTCTTAGCCAATCAAATTCGAGAATCAGTCGGTCCGCGCCAACTATGGTTGGTTAATGTTAAAATTCGACGCTGCGCCTTATATAGTGGAGTCTGCTCATTTTCAGACGGTCATTTCCTTATAGGCCATTTGCCTACGTCACTAAGATGATATACACTTGTAATTTATCATCTAATCCTATGTGATGTCGGGTAAATGGCCTGTAGGGGAAACGATTGTCGCGGCTACCAACAAGCAGTTGTTTCGGTTCGTTTCTACCATACAACTTCAAGTTTGGAACAAGCTTCCCAACATTTATATGGGGGTGAGTCAATAGAAATCAAGCAAATTTTTTACAATAAAAAGTTTTTATAACTTTAAACAAGAATAACTTAACGAAACCTTGACCAATTTAATAAATTTTTTTTAAAATAATTTTTACAAACTTATAGAATTAATTTTTAAAAAAATTTATTAAATTTATGTTAGGTTATCCTTGTTTAAAGTTTTTAAAAAACTTATTAAAAAATATTTGCTTGGTTTCTATTGACTCAACTCCATATGATGTAAGAGTAATAGGTTAATCATTTTTCTATGTGCTTCTGTGCATACGTACGTACGTACTGTACGTATGTACGAAAGTAAGTATGTACAGTACGTACGTACGTTGTTATGCCTAACATATAAATATGTTAAATTTCCTTTTTTTTATCTTACTTTTTTTGTATCGCGGGTCGGTAAGCCACATCGGCTGTGGGGTTGGGATCGACCCTTAGTTACGAACTTCCGGAACTGGTTATTGAAAGTTATTAACTATTGGGATTGGTTATTGATAGTTGTAACTATCGGAAAAATAAAGAACTAACGGCAAGAGTTAATAACTACTGTGTAAAGGCATCTAACTATTAATGTAGTAAAGAAAGTATAAAAGGATACCTTCCTAGTACGTTTTGAAGGATAAGTCGAATTACACTTAGGATTAGTAAATAATGCCCTTTAATGTCTCTTATAGTAATTTATTTGAATAACGATAAGAGTGTAGTATTAGTATTAATTAGTATTATTTGCACAATAGTTAATAAAAATCCGATTCTCTTGTAAGTTAAATACCGTTTCCCATAATAACGATATTAATTAAAAGATCCCTTACTAATAAAAACCCGATCCTAATAAAAGAAATAAGTTAGATTTAGTAATAGTTTCCATATTAAATATAGCATCATTTACCAAACCCACGTATACACTTGTCTCTGAATTTCTAATTTTGTTAACTATCGTTCGTGGATCAGTGATCAAATTAACAATTATATCCACTTCAGTAGTTACACCGTCCCTATAAAAAAAAATCTCTTGGAATTGTTCGGAAAATTCTGAAATTATTCGATTTTTTGTTCAGAAAATCGACTCCGTT